TTGAAGAATTAATACAAAAATTAAATAAATAATCGGCCATACAATTTCCACAGCTGGAGAACCCGAGTGATTGCCGCTTCCACAACTTACAACTCTTCATCTCAGCACTTTACTCATATATACATATGTACATAAATAGGTTTGCTCCTCAGCTTCGTTTGGAAGTGTGTCATTGCTATTTTGTTGTTGTCCGTTTCTACACCTGTTGTTTGTCTGTTGAACAAAAACTGCTATCAAAAAATGCATGATTGCTTCTTCTTCGTCTTCATCATAAATTTTTTTCTATTGAAACACTTTGCTTGTTGCTTTCTCGTCGCTTGCCTTCATTCTTCGCCTTCTTCACAACTCACTACACATCAGAGCTTCATGAAATTTTAATAATTTTTATTTATTTTTTATTATTCTCTTGTGGGCCATAAACATTTCATCAATTCATACATTTTTTTACCGCATCCCAATTCCAGTCATTCTTCACACAATTCGTTAGTTTGCCACACAGTCAGTCAGTCAGGCACGGAGTGAGTGTGTGAGTGTGTCGGAGAGACAGTTAGCTGGCTTATAGCTCCTCAGCTATTCGTCAGTTATTCATTCATGCATTTTTATGTCGAACAGTTAATGCGGATGTTATTAGGTTAGTTGCAACATTGTGTTTAATTTTTTATTGTTGTAGTATTTTTCATCTGTTTTTTTGTTTTTTTTTTTTTGATTTGCTCTTTACAATCATTTACTGTTGTACTATTACGGTTTTGTGTTTTTCTGTTCCTGGTTTTTCAGCTCCACTTTTTCTGCTTCTCATGAGAGGATTTTCATTATTTTCAGATGTTTGTTTTGATTGATCTTTTGGATTTTCGATATTCATGCTTTATTATTTGCATACATACACATGTAGGCATGTACACATCGTTTTAATATAAATTATTATGATTATCTTGCATTACATGATTTGTGAAAAAAAAAGAAAATTTAATTTGATGAGTGTACCAAACGGAGGGGCGATCTTCCTCTTCCACTGCTTCCTGCAACGGTTTTTGCAGCGAGTACTTTCAAAGCTGGAATATTTTCATCCATTCGGACGACATGACCTAGCCAGCTGTCGCTTCATTCGCTTAACCATGTCAATATCATCATACACCTCGAGCATAAAATGCCATAAATCGTTCGCAAAACTTTTCTTTCGAAGATTCTCAAAGCCGACTCATAAATTGTTGACATCGTCCACTCCTCTGTGCCACATAGTTGTAGGACGGGTATGATGAGCGACTTGCAGAGTTTGGTCTTTGGACTTTACTTTTCAATTGCATACTCAGACCAAAGTAGCAACTGTTCGCAAGAGTGATCTTTCTTTGGATTTCAAGGCTGGCATTATTACTATTGGTGTTGATGCTGGTCCCAGATAGACGAACTTATCTACGACCTCGAAGTTATTACTGTCAAAAGTGACATGAAAGCAAAGTAGTAAATGCTTGCCCTCGTTCACTATCAGACCCATTCGCTTCCTTTTTGTTTATCAAGTCTGTAGAAAGCAGAACTCACGGCGAGGTTATTGAGGACAATAGTGTCAATATCATTTTAATGTTAATTTACATAATTTATTTAACTTTAATTTATTTCATTTTATTTTATTTTGATATTGCTACTTAATTTTTGTTTTTATATATTTTCTTACAATTTATTTTGCTTCGTTGTTTTTTCATTTTAACTTAAAATTTTTTATAGATATATTTCTTATACTATTTGAATCTATTTAATTTTATCTCTTTTATTGATAATTAATATATTTTATTTTATTTTATATTATTTTAAATTCTGTTGTTTTATTCTAATTTAAAATTTTTTATTTTTTCAATTTTATTTTATTAATATTTATGTATTTTATTTTACCTTCTTTCATTAAGTTTTTATTTTAATTGCTTTTATTTTATTTCATTTTATATTATTTTATTTTATTTTATTTTATTTTATTTTATTTTGTTTTATTTTATTTTATTTTATTTTAATTTATTTTATTCTATTTTATTTTGGCTTATTTCATTTTATTTTATTTTATATTTTTTTTCTTTTTTCATTTAATTTTATTTTAATTTTTTTACTTTCCTTTTGAGTGCATAAAGATGCATAAAAAGTCCTATTTGCCTTTGTTGTGGTGAATACATTTGCAAACAAACAAATAATGCAAACAACATAAAAAACACCAACAATACTAGCATCAATATTTATTTACAGTTATTCCAGCTGCCAATCGGTCACACAACGCAACATCAAAAAAGGCAGGCGATGCTGTGGCTTTTAGACTTTTAGTACGATGCACATGCATATCAATATGTATTGTACTATATGTATGTATATATGTATGTGGGGCCACGCACAAGTTGTCAAACAATTTGGACAGCATGCTTGAGCAAATCAAACGTACAAAAAAAATTGATTCTCAAAAGAATTATTCTCACTCATTCTTATATGTTAAATGTATGGAATAGTAAAGCGAACGGCGGCGGCAGCATCAACAACAGCAGCAGCAACAACAACAACGACTTTAAATTCTTTTTACGATACTACGCTGCCAGCACAAAGCGCGTTCGTGAGCTCATGCAAGTCGCTTTGCTAAGTGGCAAGTGTGCGAAATACCAATAACTATGTGTGAATATATATATACATACGTATATGGCCAAAAGCAGAAGCAGAAGATACAACAGCGCTGGCACAACCGGTTCACATAACTGTTATTTACGCTTTGGCCCGTTTTTGGACGATTATACGGTGCGGCTGAGGGGCTCACTTAAGACGATGGCTGACTCGATGGCTGACTGGCTTGCCGACAGACTTGCTGGGCAATTGCTTTGGGACACAAATTCTTTATTGTTTTCTTGTAGATATTTTATATGTATGCCTACTACTGCTATTGTTGTTGTTATTGTTGTAATTTGTCTGCTTTCTTGTCATTTTTTGCTCAGGTTTTTTTTTCACAGTTTTTCTTGACTTTCCTTAAGACGCGGAGGTCAATTTCCATGCGACTTTGAAATTATTATATTTATACATTATTTTTCTATTTGCATACATACATACATATTTATGCATTTGTAATAGGAAAATGACAGAGTCGCTTTAATTATCGCGCTCAATGCATGTTGGCTTGTGCTAGCTTCTTGTTGATGTCTTACGTTTTGTTGTCAATGATTGGGTAGCGAGTGAATGGAAGAAAGCCAGGCGATGTGCCATATAATTTATTATGGAAAATTTGTATATTTTAACGGAAAATGACTTTTAGTTACGCTTGAGTAAGTGCAAAGTGTAGCTCATTTAGTATTAGTTGTTATTGTTTGTTTAAGAGATAAAGCCTTTTTGGTGGTGGCAGGTAGCTCTCCACCTGGGTCTTCCAACGGGTCGAAGGTCTTTCTCTTCCCCTGTTTGCAATGTAGCCACTGTCCGTATATATCGTTGCTTTGTCTGCGGAGTTCCACGTCGCCCACGTGTAGAGTATTCCTCAAAACCTTGCGCTGGATAACTCACGTCGCTGACTCATCGAGTGTTAACACCGTGCATGCTTCCGTATCACAAAGTAATACTGGAATGTCGAGAGTTTTTCACAGGCTGGAGAAGTGCTCCCTCCATAAACTCAGTGTGCGTGGGCATCAGTCGCCCTCTTTGGGTTCTACATGAGTATGCTCCGGTTTTGTCATTATTTTCCTCCGTGCAAAGCACTTCGTTTCCCTCTTCAACTCCCGATATTTATACCGCCGCCGAAGTATTTCGGTTCATCGCAACATTGAGTTGAGAGTTTATGCTGCTGGCGATTAGAGCGACCAGTACACTTAGGTCTGAAGTGCCGCTGTGATAGGTCTCACACCTTTTCAGATACTCGAACCATTTCGTGAGCATTCTGATCGTTGCTATACGAGCTACTGCCACGTCAGCCAGGCAATCGGAGACCGATATCCCAGTAACTTGTGTCGTTAAGTGCTTAGGTCTGGTTAATGACAGAGGTAGTATTTGACAGACTCTTCCTCTTCTTCGTCTCTACAGCAGTTGTTGTATAGATAGTAAACCGATCTAGGAGGACATGGTATGCCAGTAAAGTGTCTAAAATGTATTATAGTTAGACTGGTACTACCTCTCGCAAACTTCTCCGCCGCATAGTTGCCTCGGATGTTCCTATGTCCGGCTACCCAGACCACGACTGTGTTCCATTTAACTGAAAGCTTTTTTAAAGTACTTATTTAAATGCCACTTTTATTGTGATATAACTGCAATGAAGAGTTCTATCTGATGGTAGTTTGTAACCAGAGATCCAAGCAACTATTCTACCGTTTCATGGTAGCCTCAGAGCATCGAGTTTAGAAGATAGCTATGTTACTCTGATCACAACATTGCGAGGCGTGCAATCCTTCTTCCTTATCTCATCTTTCCTCAACGTACCAGCTCTTCTTTCGTCATTATCTAACGGCGGTATGTAGGAGCACCGCCTCACAACTCGCCCGTATTGAGTTTTGATAAGAGATCTCAGAGAGCAGAAGTACAAGTCAAGAAGATTCGAGTTTAGCTGTTTGATTTCATTCAGTTTTCTGATGCCGAGCGTTCCTTGAATTTGTGGACAGACGTTTCTTATTGCACAGAGACGGATACGTACGTAGGTACTGCACTTTGATGAGGTTTGTGGTGAGACATTCATCTTCGTCGTTGTGCGAATAGGTGTACATTTAGAGCCACTTGCTGCAAAACCGACTTTCGCTTGCAGACCCACATCTGGTGAGCGGCCTGAGGTCTTAAACGATGCGCCTGGAGATGGTTATCGCATTTTATGCAAGGATAGCTGACGTGTTCCGCGTTTGCGAAGAGGGAGCCTTAGATATTTGTATCATCAACAGATCAGTTAGGCTAGAAAACCTGGCTCGTTTGACAAGAAGCTCGAGAGTGGAAACAGCCAAACGTCTTCATTGTTATAATCCAGAACATGAACAACATATTTGTTTATTTTTTCCGTTTGTAACGGTTTTTTTTTTTTTTTTTTTTTTTTTTTTTTTTGGAATGTTTCAAATTTTTGTTCTTTTGCTTTCAATATTCAGAGAAATCTTTAAAACTAAAGACACCTTAGCGTCCTTCAATATATGTTGATAAATCAATTTGCGCTGGCAACTCGGTAATATTCACATCGAATCTGGATTGGACTTCAGTCAACACATGTTTATCCCCCTCGGCCGAAACAAAGCTTATAGCCAAGCCTTTAGTGCCAAAACGGCCGGCGCGCGCCACACGATGCAAATAAGTATCGGTACTGTCAGGCATGTCGTAGTTGAAGACGATATTCACACGTTCGATATCCAAGCCGCGACCAAAGAGATTAGTGGCCACCAAAATGCGCTTTTGGAAATCCTTAAATTCCTGATAGCGCTGGAGACGTTCCTCTTGCATCATGCCACGATGTATATCCACAGCGGGAAAGTTTTGTTCGGTTAGTAGCTTGGCTAAAGCCACGCAACGTTGTATGGACTTTACGAATATGACGACTTGATTGAATTCCAGCACATCCAAGAGTTCAGTTAGTTTTCTATTCTTCGCATTACCTTTCAAATCAACATAGTGCTGTTGCAGGCCGTGTAATGTCAGCTTTGACTCATCATCCACATATATCTCCATTGGGTCTTGCATGAATTTCTTGCACAGAGCGCGCATATCCTTGCTTAGGGTAGCGGAAAACATCATTACTTGTTTGGCGTGCGGCGTGGCACGGTTGATCTCCTGTACATCACGACGCATGGAGATTTGCTCCAACATTTGATCGCATTCATCGAGTACAAAATGCTTGATGTTCTTTAAGTTAAGCATTTTGCTGCGTACCAAACCCAAGATGCGTCCGGGTGTGCCGACAATGATGTGTGGCAATTTGTCTTTCAATGATTTCTCATCCGCTTCTATGGCTAAACCACCAAAATACACAGCAATTCTTAACTCAGGCAAATACTTGGCGAAACGTTCGTACTCTTTGCTGATCTGGAAAGCTAACTCACGCGAATGACACATCACCAACACATAGGGCACACTCTCCTTGGGCTCCAACTGTTGTAGTGTAGAGAGCACAAAGACCGCAGTTTTACCCATGCCAGATTTAGCTTGACAGACAATATCCATGCCGAGCACCGCTTGTGGTATGCATTCGTGTTGCACCTCCGATGGATGTTCGAAGCCGCAGTCCGCGATAGCACGCAATATCTCCGGTTTGAGTAGAAAGTCACGAAAACCGGAGCTGTGTATGGAGACATATGAGCCTTTAACGTCCTTCTTTGGTTTTTTGGCAACCGGCATCTCTGCCATCTCCTCTTCATCGTAGTCCAATAGATCCAAACTGTCAGACATTGTTTTCCACTTTTTTTGAATTAATTCACTGAAAATTTAAAACTGTTTGTACTTTATTTTGAATTTTTTAAAACTCTAAATTTATATATTTTTTCGCTTTCACAATTTTTCCGCACTCGTCTGTCTAGACTGAAGTGTGAAACTCGTTTGATGAAGAATATCCTGACAATCGGCCTTTTTATACTCTTCTTAATCCTCGTTTTCCGTCCGAAGAGCATTTAGTAAAGGGTTTCTTTATTTTCGCTACATTCTTGTTCAATCTTTTATGATTTCCACGAATTTCTTAATGCGTTATGGTCTGTGCCCTTCGGAATTCGCGCTGCCGTTAAAGGGATGAAGTGTTTTATGTGCGCTCGTTAGATAAAGAAAAAAAAATTTATTTCAGGTAGTGAATAGTTTTGAAATCAAAATTTTTTATCTATTTTTATTCATTTAATTGTATTTTTTATTTTATTTTATTTTATTTTAGTTTGTTTTATTTTAATTTATTTTATTTTATTCTATTTCATTCTATTTTATTTTATTCTTTTATTTTAAACTATTCTATGTTATTTAAATTTTTTGTATTTTGTTTTATTTCATATTTTTATTATTAATGTTATTGTTTTTTTATATTCTATTCTACTTCATATTAATTTATATTATCTTATTTTGTTTTACGTTTCTTTGTTTTATTTATTTCACTTCCTTTTATTTTATATATTTTATCTGATTTTATTTCATTTTATTTAATTTAGTTTATTTTATTTTATTTTATTTTATTTTCTTATTATTTTATTTTACTTTATTTGATTTGATTTATTTCATACAAATGTTTTTATTATTATATTTTTTAAGTAATTAGTTTTATTTGATATAAGTTTACTTCATCTTTTGTTATTTAATTTAGTTCATGTGTTTAAACAAATGAATTTTTCATTTCAAATAATTTTTCCGTTTGTAATGCTTCTCAAACTTGCATGGACCCACAGTATGCAAGAAACACAGCCAATTCGTTTCATTTGCAACCCTGTATGCACAGTCAGCTGTTCGCTTGTCCACACGTGTTGACATTTTTGTTGGGTCGACTCATTTGTGCGAAATTACTAATTTACTTTCTAATTACCGCAACTTCAAATTAACGTCGATAAGTAAAGTTTATAGTGATTATTTCATATTTTTTCAACTCCCAACACATACAAATATCAAATATGCGTGAAAATACACCACCACGCGTGAACGACATTGAAGATGATGATATCGAGGAAATACATTTTGACAACGATGTTGCGCCCGATGATGAGGAATTGGAAATGGAAGAAATTACTATGGAAGAGTTAGAGGCACGTTATGGTTTTCTATCGGATGTTGATGAAGATAACGATGATAGCGTTTATCGGCCACCAGAACGTGATGACGCCATACTCACATTCATGAAACACAAATCGGCCATTTTTGGTTGTTCTTTGCATCCGAATCGTCCGATTGCCGCTACTGGCGGTGAAGATGATCGTGCATACGTTTGGAATGTGAATACATGCGAATTGCTGTACGAAATTACAGACCATAAAGACACCGTCACCGATGTTTACTTCAGCCACGATGGTGCATATCTAGCCACTGGTGATATGGCCGGCGAATTATTCGTACACAAACTGCAAGAAAACGAGTCTGGTGCTGCGTTCACATTCCGTAAAGTGTGGGAATATTCGATGGGTGATATGACATGGATGTGTTGGCATCGTTCGGCCAATGTTCTTATGGCTGGCAGTGAAAATGGTGAAGTTTACATCTGGCGTATACCGTCGGGTGATTGTAAAATACTGCCTGGTGAGGGTGTACGGTGTAGTGTTGGTGAATTGACAGGTGATGGTAAAAAACTATTTGTTGGCTATACAAATGGTGTTGTGAAATTATGGGATCTAAAGAGTTGCACAGTTGTTATGCAAGTGGATGAGCAAAATTCCATGGCGCAGCAATCGATAGTTTTATCTGTGGCGTGTGATAAAGAATCGCCTTTCTATGCGTCGGGAGCTTTAGATGGTATGTCTGCCAAAAAAGTCAAAAATAGTAAAAATTCATTCAAATTCTTTATTTAATGCAGGAAAAATTATATTTTGCACAAATAATGGACCTGTAGGCGCTGTCGAGGCGGATGGTTCAGTTGAATGCATAGCATTTCCGCCATCTAATGAACTGAAAATTGTAGCCAGCGGCACTTTGCAAGGACAAATTGCTATTTGGGATTACACAAAATATGGACTGCGCACGTTATGCGATCATAAGTTTGTGGAGGGCGATGAAACTAACAAATTTCAAGGTGGCATTACGAGGTTTGTAAAAAAGCATTGCTCATACCTTAATTACAGTATTCCATGATGTATTTCTTCTTCTTTACAGACTCAAGTGGATCAGTGATCATACACTCGTTGCTGCTACAATGGATGGTAATGTTATTGGGTTTGATGCGCGTTCTGGTGCACGTAAATTCACACTCGAAGGTCATATGGCGGAGATCTATGAAATGTGTTATAATCCACATGAAAACATCCTGCTGACAGTATCAGAAGATCGCCGTGCGAAAATCTTTAATCTACCACAGCTGGGTGATTAGTTTTCCTCATCACACAAATTTCTGTATTCTTTAATACAACAAAAAGATATCATACAATGCAGCAGCGCAGCATGTGCATGGATTGTGAAGAGTATACTAATATAAATATATATGTAGCATATTTGTGAAATGTTTATAAAAATTTTAGTTGAATATAAGTTTTTTTTCTATGAGACTATATACATACATATGTACGAGAAGTATATTAATTATTGCTGTTTACTTGCTAATAGTATGTAACTTTGTATTTTTTTTTTATAAAATATTGCTTTTAAAATTGTTTACATTCTTGCTCTTTCAAATCATATACCGTTAGTACTATGTATGTATCGCTACTTACATTAAAGAAAATTGGAATTATATGTACATACATATATGTAAAATATACATGCTATTGGTAAATACTCTAGTATAAAGCATATAATGCAATGAATTTAAGACAAACACATACATACGTACATATTTAAGAAAGATATAAATGAAAGTCAATCAAACGAGCAAATATGGGGCTATTCTTATTTCAAAACCTCAAAAAACTGCTTCTGTAGGCGAACTATTTTAGTGAAGACCAGATTTAGTTGTCCACATCAGCGCTGACTTGAAAAAACCTTCAAAGTTTACTTTCTTGTGGATCCTTCTCAAATCATCCCGTCTTGTGGACTACATGAGTCCCGCCACGGGCACTATTCTTACAAGGAGGTGAAAATATCCGAGCTCGTAACTGTTAATCCAGCTTTGGCCGTTAAAAAACCGGATCAAGTCAGGTACGTAAACCCGACTGTCGTGAACTCTGCTTTTAAACATGTTCCTAAGCAGGGTATATGTTGCCGCTAAGACAACAATAACAACAGAGTCGCACTAAAACCGTCCTTAACCAACTGGACGAAGAGGTATCGCGGAAGTTCCTTCACTTCGCTTACGACTACCATTGCTGCCAACAAAATCTCCGAATCGCTGGCCGTCAGCATTGCATCTTAGAGAAAGATAAGGAAACGTTGCTCGCAACTTACAAGGAAATGTATCGGCGGGTTGTTTACTGCGCTGCACCGATCTGCACAAAGGGGACTATGGAGTAAGATACAAGCTTGTCAAAACAACTCAATTAGAACTGTGACGGGAAACCAGCAGCTGTCAGAAATTCTCCTCTTATACATGACTTCAAGGACTATACAGCAACATAGAACTGAGCCGCAGGACAGGACTGCTCACCGACACCTATCACGAGACCCGATCAGTACTAGCGCAATGAAGATCTGGATATTGTAGTCGACTTAATTCTTTTCTATTCAAAATTGTCTCCGATATACCTAACGTATACTCTGCATGCAATAATACTCCGCGGGACACCAACCACCTCTTTGCATGCCCTTTAAAACAAACTTATCGAACACCCCTTTCCTTCTGGTCCAAAACTGTCGAAACAACTCGTTTCGTGAATCTCTCGTTAGGATTATGTGACCGATTTTTTCTGCTTCTAGCTAAGGTCCTTTCACGGATCCGCCGAGGAACGATGACGTAATGAAATTTCTAACCTATAGTCCAGTCTCGTCAAAGTTGATCGTGCGCCAAAGCTTGTTGCCGCCAGAGAGCATTTAATTTTACCACTTACCCCGATTATTTTGGCTTACGAATTGCGGAATCTCCAAAGTAATTGGCGTAAGCAGTTTCGCGCTAGCCCTAGATTTCCCACTTCAGTGGGAAAATGTGTGCGTAAATTCCACGTTCTTTACGTATGACCTTGATCTGAGCGTACATTTAGCTTGGTTTCTTGGACGGCAGCTATCGATAGGTACAATCTGCTCGTAAAGACGGCTAAACCGACGATCTTCCCCTGCAGTATGCTGCAGTTAAATTTAAGAAGCCTAGTCTGTAGCCGGAGGACGTTCATAATATGGAGGGTGAGAGAGGGTTGTTTGGGAATTGGGTGTTGCAGCTGTATTATCCTCATTAACTGTGTACGGGTCCAGATTCTGTGAGATCCGGAACAGACAGTCTGCTGTTGGCTTATGAGTTTAAAACCCCCCCTCCTCCCTTTCCTCTGGTGCGTCCGAACACGTCAAAACAGCTCGTTTCCTGTACCTCCCGTTAGTTGGCATCGATGACTTAGTTGTTGCTCCCCAGATCAAATCACATTTGACTGGTAATCTAAATGGGAGTAGGTCGCCGAAAAAGTGATAGCCATTGGCTGGATAAAACCCAGATCAGCTTTATCAAGGGGGTTTCTCAACACGGTTCTAAGAGCGATATTATGGCAGTTCTGTAACTTCGTCAGTGGGAGTGGTTAACGCACCTACATATATGCGGAGTTCCAACGACAGCCAATTCTATGCACCCAAGAAAGATTTCGGTCAAGCGCCGTCATTCTCACAACGAGTGAAGCTCCTTTTTTTTATTAATCACAAACGTTGCTTTGTAATCTCTCCTTCTCTTTCTTCTCCTTCTTCTTTAGAGTGAGAGTCATTAACCTTTTTCTCGATACCTCCTGACGTCGAGGCATCACCATATAACAGACTGCGACTGATCAGTGACTTAAAGAGCTTGCGTATTAAGGTTTCGCTGTGATTACCATTAAAGTCAAATGTTTTAACGCTTTGTCGCCGTGAGCTTGCACCTCGATGAAGGAAAAGATTCACACATGACCACAGGCTCCTTCTAAAAGTAGAGCTGTCACTGTGCTCTCAAATACTTTTAGATGGAGACCAAGCCCTAAATGGACTTATTTTCTTTGTTGGAACCTGAAGGATGTCCGTCTGTAAGACCGTACCTCGGGCTAAGAAATCGATCACATCAAAAAATGGTAACCGAGAACTTGCCATGAGTCCGCTGCTAATTGTTGATGAAGAATGCACGTTTGGGGTTTGCACCACTGTCCAACTGCTGACGTCGCTATTATTGGCTGCAAGCTGCAAACTGCAGTTGTACGAAAACAAAGCAGGAGCAGAAGTATGCGTCATTGAAGCACGTGCTATGGCACATGTATATATGTACATATATGTATACAAATATATAAAGGGGCACCAAGGAGCGCGCAGCAAAATATTGAATGATAAATGGAGGAAGGTCTGTGAAATATGCCAAACACGAAAGCAAGGACAGAGAGGACAAAGACAGAGAGACAGAGCAATGCTGAATGTGGCCGCGGCTGGGAAAGCATTGACCGTCAGCACGCTAAAAGTATGCATACATACATATGTACATTTTGGTTGTTTGCATTTCGTTTGTTGTCACTTTGGCTGCATGGGGTGAGTGTGAATGGAATAGTAACACACGCCAACACGCCAGCACACCCCCAAACAGCGGGAGCTGCACAACAGACACATAGACACACACATACATACGTGCTTGTATGTATGTGTGGAGGTAAGTTTACTAGACCTGTACAAAACATGAAAAAGGGGTTGTCTACGCGTCGCATTCTACATCGCAATTACCCGCACTCACCCGCCCCTCCAGCTCCCTCTCTCCCTCAGCCTGTGCCCACATTCAACGCTCTTCATTTGCTTGACTTTTGTTTTCATCATTATTGCATGACTTCTGTGTGTATCTCTGCGCTTTCCATGAATATTTTATAGCCGACACTTACTCTTTCTATTCCATTTATTTAATATATTTAATATTTATTTCGTCGTTACCTCATTTGTGCTCGTTATATGCCCAAGTATTTGGCAGTCTGCTGTCGCCGGAGTGTGTGTGCGTGCACAGTATATTGACCTGGTAGGTTCTGGGTTCGATATCCAAGAAATTACTTAAAGTATTTTTGCTGTATCAGATAACGGCCGGAGAAATCTGCCAAATCTTATGAGAAAGCTCTAACAGAAAGGACAAAAATGTGTTGTGTCTTCGTCTATCTTAAAGCCGTTGTCAAGAGCAGATAAAGGATCTACCTCTGTGTTGCTGAATTTTGTTACCGCGCAAAACTAAGCCAGAACGGCACTAGCTGCTCTGCGCGCTTCGGGTAGGACCACTACGAACTGTTCCGTACCAAACGAGATCTTTATTGTCCGACGTCCTTAACTTAATACTGATGAAAGTAATATGAGCTGCAACACTAGATTTAAAAGGCTTCTATAAGTACGTAGAATGGTCTCAGCTATAGCATCGTTAATTCTGCTCCTCTCAAAACAGCCAAAGAAGAGGCGCAACTGGCACAGAATGAAGGTAAGCCAAAATATCTGCTGTCATTAAACATAAAGTCAGCGCATTTGGATCTTGGTTCCCACATCATCGTCGGAATTTCGCTCATCGGTCACGTCCTCCTTTAGGGCGCGAAAGCGGAAGAATTCAGAGTTCTCGAGAGTAAGGTTTTGCTGAAGGTACCCCGCCTATTGTGCCGAAGTTACCTTCTTCACTCGCCCTGTAATAAAAGTCGCTAGGCACGAATTTTACATCAAGTGAGCCAGGAAAACGCTCATAAATGCACTCTTAGCGCTTAATTTAAGGCATCTTTGGTCATTTTGTTCTTTTCTTAGGAATATGTTAAAGAACCTCGCTTTAAGACCTTCATCCATCGCGGCAAGTGCTAGAACTCAGTGTCAAAACCCTTTTCCACCACAAATCCCAAATTATTGCGGTTTTTGTTGTTGTGAGGATAAAAACCAGGATCGATCCGTTTCTAAGACCGAACTATCGTCGGAACTATCAGATTTGAGTCGTCTCTTGCGACTGGCATGCCTTACTGCGGATAAATTATTAAACTGCGTACCCACAGGCGGACGTCCTGCGCTCTTCTAGGACCACGCTAACATCAGCCATTATTCTGACAAAATCATGAACCAGCTGGGCCGTGGCACTTCTACATTCGAGGGATCTGCACACAACCTTAGCCTTCTCACTTTAACGCGCCTCCAAACGGATGCTTGCCAGTTACCTAGCGGACACTAAAACCGGAAGACATGAGCTACCTAAAACCATATGTAAAGAATCGTTTCTGACCACTACCAGGTGAATATGGTAGTCAATAACTTGTCTCCATTTAAGTGGGATCTTACGCATTGTCATGAAGGAAAGCAACTATTTTCGATATTAAAGAAATCTTCTCTCACGGGCAGCATGAAAATTTTGCCAAAAAATGTACCTAAACTTCTCGGCCCACACCCGTCATTGCGCTGTTTTCCCTCTGCAGCAACAATTTGTATGAATTTCCATAAAAATAAAAAATACTATTGACACTTGTCCAACATTCAAACAACTACCCTTTTCTTGATTTGGTCTTTTTTTTCCTTTTTTTTCTTTCTGCATTTTTCATGCATTACTTGCTTCCTACTTTTCGAAATCACTTTTAGTACTTTTTCATACCCCAACTTGTGCGGTCACATCAAATTTACGAAATAAATAAATAAAAAAAAAGAAACGGTTTTAAATATAAAATTTAATATTTAACAGATTTTCGTAATGTATGTATGTAATTGACTGTGAATTTTCGTAAGAAAAATGCAAAATAATGAAATTGAAAACCATTGCGGTGTAAATGGCCAAATTTTTGTGGTTTTTGTTTCAAATGTA